ACTTTAGATTTTCTTATCTTTTATTTCATCCTTTTTTAATGTAATTTTTATTTTTTCTTTGGTCAATGTAGAATTACTATTTTGCTAAAATAATGCATTTTCTTTGGGGCACTCGTATATTCTTCGCTGTTCGCGGTATAACAAATTTGTTTTAATGAGACAGGAAATATTTTACTTCCTGGAAGGCATTTTATTAATATATTTGCAAATAAAAACTATAAATCATGTTATTTATATTGAGACTTAGATATTCCAACATGACACATCAACAAAGACATATATGAAGTGAAGATAGCGAAATAATCTTAACAATAACACATGTTATAACAATATTGTTTAATCATAATACATAATAATAATATGTTTCTTATAATATATATTCCTGCACATTTATGGTCAGTAAATTAAATAGAAATTCTAAAATTTCTAAATTCGCTTTGCATGTTAGCAATTCAAATACAGATCATTAACTATTTTGCATTTCTTATTAAAGATCTTAGCCCACCAGCGGCCGAGCGGTAAAGACGCTGAACACTGGTAGTTCGGTCCGAGGTTCGAATCCCGCGAACGGGCTGGCTGCAGGGCGTTTTCGTGGTTTTCCCCATGTGTAACGTGTATACGAGCCAGTTTCCCTTAGAAAGTCCTCCACGAAAGGCATCCCTCCCCTTAGGCAGATAGCCCTAGTGTGCTTTGCCATAATTAAATACACTACTACTACACTACACTATTAAAGATCTTATTAAATGAACATAAAGTATGCTAAAGCTATTTATTAAATTTACATGAATAAATAAAGGTAACAGTTTTTTAAGTTACCTTTATTTATACAGTACATGAATAAATAAAGGTAACAGTATAAACTTTACAATTTACATGAATGAATGAAAAAAAAGAAACATGCGTACCTATAAGGATTATCACAGTCTCTTGTGCATGGTGTACTGTAGTTAACAGTTAACAGTAGCACATCCACGGAATGTTAGAAGATTTGTGGTTCGATTCCCGGCGAGGACACAAGTGCTTTCTTATGTTTATCTCCTTAAAAATTCTAGTAATATCTACAGTGGTGCACGAATTAAAATGTAGTGGATAATAATTCGTTACCTTCTGGATATCGTGTCTCTCTCTAGTCTTCCTTTAAATGGGGAAAGAATATAAGATTTTATCGCATTCCCCGTACGTGTTTTTGGGACTTAATGACAGCAAATTCTAGCAGTCGGATGATCTGTGTTTCAAATCCAGTCGTCGGCACTGTTGATTAATCATGTTTCTCGAACAGCGGCCTGTATGCTGCTGAAGTTTCATATATTTATCTTTCGAATTGGTTTTTGACATAGAAGATATTATAGAAGAGATTATATACATAGAGAGAGAAGAAGAGATAGATGAGATATAGAGTATATATCATATGGAAAGGAATGCATAATATATAACTTAGAACTGTCTTTTGTATTAGAAATTATTAGAAATTTTCCTTACAAAAAAACTCATTTCAAAACTTCCAAAGCGAAGCGATACATACTACGGTTAGTAAATATCAAGCAACACATTTCTAACTTATTTTGCTTTATATTAATTTCGCTATTGTTACTATTGCGTCCCTCAAAAAATCTTTCCACTCATACCTTTATTTTCTTCATTCATTCATAAATAAATGCATTAAAAATCCTGTTTCACTGTTTTTTGCAATATTCCAGGCGCTTTCCAAACTGTGGTCCCTTATGCGCCTCCTGGATTTCTAAAACCGACCAAAGAAAAAACGCTACTGTGTGTACCACAACAACAGCTAAAAACGGCATATTTTGAAATTGCACATGACAGTCATCTATCACCTTTTTCTCCTAAGACAGGTATTGTAAACATTTATTACTGGTTGCACTTTTATCTATGGATTTTTCATTGCAGTCTTAGCAAGTAGAGACATTAGGTTATTTTGAAACAGAAGAGGTGAAAATGAGCAATGCTCTCACCGGGACTCGAACCGCGGGCCTCTCGAATACGCGCCAAGTGTGCGGACCACTACAACACGAAGGCATGCTAAGAAGATAGGAGAAATACCTTATATACTACCCCATTTAAAGGGCGATTGAGGACTGAAGGACACAATCGAAACATCCTTGTGGTCATCATTCTCGAGAATTAATATCCACCGCCCTTTTCTAATTCGGTTGCCACTGCAGAGATATTAGGTATATTTTAAAAGCAGGTGAGAGAAAAAATGAGCAATGCCCTCACCGGGACTCGAACCACGGTCTTCTTGAATGCTAAGAAGACGAGAGAAATACCTTATAAGCTATACAAGAATCTACAGACTTGTCCATTTCATTAATGTTAGTACCAACATTTGTTTAATGAAATAAAGATTATCCAAACTCTAATGAAAAAACTCTTGAATTATATAAAACAAATGTAAACTTTCTTTTAATAACTTAACTTGTTAATACCAATGCAAAATTAAATAAGTTTTAATTAATGGCGTTTTAAAAATATAAATAAACTGGTAAAAATTATGCTAAAATTGTTTTCGAAGGGGGAGGGTAAGGCGGTCCTCAGAATATTCTAATTTATAAAAGTCGTTAAGTTAGAGTTTGCTGACGGGTCTCACCATAAATATGTAAAGAAATTTTATCTTGTCAGCGGAAAAATATCAAATACCAAATGTTAGTAGCAATGCAGTTCATGCTTTAGACCAAATTAAAGAATATATTACTAAAAATGAAATGAAGAATGTGTGCAACTATCCCATGATCAATTAATGATTTGATATGCTATAATGAACAGCGATTGTTAATGAAATTGAAGAAGCACAGTACCTCATTAATTTGTAGCATGCGCTAAAATATATCTTAAAAAAGAATTGCTTATTATTCATAACACAAGAATAATTATAAAAATTTAAACAATAACGTGTGGGCAAGATTCTTTGTTAGCTCTTATCTTTGGACACTTATTTTAAGAAAATGTTGTGTGTTGATTGACCAGCATATACGAAGCTTATCTTAATAACGTAGCTTTTGTACTTACGTTCAGAACACGAGATAAAAGTCGGAGAATATTAAATTACTATTAAACATCTATTTCAAAAGTAGATTTTTGCACAGAACTAAAACTACTGATCTCAGTCTGCCTCAAGCATTTCCAAACGACTCGGTGGGCCGGGAGGAAATTATTACTTTGATAAGATATCAAGCATCAAAAATCAAAAAAATATTTAAAAAAAGTCCTTTTTAGAAGAAAACAAATATTTTGACGAATGTGTAATGAGAATTCTCATTCACAAGTGACAAGGACGGTTCCAATCGTTTTTATGTAATAGCTATTTAAGGTTTATTAAATGGAAGTACGAAACCTTCGTTAGTGTTGCATCAAAGGGGCGTTTTTTTAACATTTTGTTATAAACTGTTACCTTTATTTATTAAATATCACGCTCTTCGCACTTAAACCATAAAATTCAGTTCAAAAGAAATATCGCAAAATAGGTTTAAATTGAGCATATCTTTAGAATTTCCGATAGAGAGTCTCGAGCGCTGGAGATAAAAATGTTTTTCTGTACAACGTTACCATTGCTCGCTTTGAAATTCTTGAGCTTTTTAATCAAAAATTCGTTAAAGCTTACAAAATATGAAATCAATAATAAAACAAATTCTCAATTCCAACATGCTCATATTCTCAGTAGGATTACGTCATTCAAAATTCGATGGCTGTACGTACGGTTGTTTTATCACAATGCGAGAAATATACACACATTTATGCAGATTTTCATTATTTAATTTCTTCAAATATAATGCAGGACTCTAACATTTGGTTGCAACAGTTTGAAAAAGGAAACGGACATTTTAATGAACCAACGCAAAATCGCAAAACGAAAACAATAGTCTTTCAGGGACAAAGCCCTTTTGGACTAAGAATTTTCTAAACTGTCTAAAACTCCTAATGTAAGAAAATCTTGTCTATTATCAGCTTATTAGACAGATATATCATAGCTAAAAGGATTCTGCGTTATTTATTTAAAAAAAATAATGCATCGCGTTAATTCTCGGTAACAACAATTTGAAAAATGATTCGGACACAATAGTGATCCTGACAAAAGTGAATTTCGAGACTATTATCACATCTGGCGCTAATAAGAATATTCAATACTGAAATTCACTAAATGCATAAATGCAAACAAAGCACTGTAAAATTTAAAATAAAGAATTTACATCGTCATCAGAGGTTTGGTGTTTCGAGAAAAGTAAATGGATCAGCCTGATTCTAAACTGAAAATGACACATATTTCCTAAATTTAAAACTTCAGTAAACTATAAAGCCCTCTTTTAAAGCGTATGCCTGCGATGTTATCGTCGTGATATGATTTGTAGATGTTTTATTTTTTACCATTTACGATGATGTTTTTGAACCATTTTATTTTTTACAACGATGTTTTAGACCTGTCATGTTTTTCCTTTACTTTCTCCCACGATGTTTTCTACGAAGACGTTTTCGTCTTGCGTTGATTTTCCCGTGACGTTTTTGGCTGACACCAATCAAGTACAGGCTGGAATGAGAAAAGCATCTAACCCAGAATCATAGAAATCTAAAATCTCCTTTTGATCCAAAAATGTCAGAAAATACATCGAAACCTTCCATTTTACTTAAATAATGGTAATACTGAACAAAATTATTCCGTAAACAAATATATAAACTACTCTAAAAATAGTTAAAATGATAGCCTGCTACAATCAAGTTAATCTGTAAGGTATTTTTCAAACCTTCCTAGGCCCATCAGCGGCCTAGCGGTAACGTCGCAGAACACTGGTAGTTCGGTCCGAGGTTCGAATCCCGCGAACGGGCTGGCTGCATGGGTGTTTTCGGGGTTTTCCACGTGTATAACGTGTATACGAGCCAGTTTCCCTTAAAAAGTCTCCTCCACGAAGGCATCCCTTCCTTAAGGCAGATATCCCTCGAGTGCTTTGCCGCAATCTATAAACCAAACCAAACCAATCCCACTTTCCTAGCGTGCCTTCGTGGTGCAGTGGTTCTGCACACTGGCCAGTTATTCCAGAGATTCGCGGTTCGATTCCGGGCGAAGGCGTTGCTCATTTTTCCTCTCTCCGGCCTAAATATCGGCCTATATATAGCCTCATATAATAATATATAATAATAATATAATAATAATATACTTATAGAGACATTATATAATAGTATCTTATAGAGAATAATATAATAATATACTTATAGAGACATATAATATATACTTATAGAGACATTAGGATTTACGTACTATGAGGCTATATATAATCCGGCCTATATATAGCCTCATAGTACGTAAACCCTAATGTCTCTATAAGTCTTCCTAGGACAAATAATCAGACCATCAGTTAAAATAGAATATTGAATGAAAAATTGTGTCAAAAAATAAATAACTCCAAAAAATTAAGGAAGGTTGTAGAGACATTAGTATTTTTGGAAGCAAGACAGATGAAAAAAGGAGCAATCGCCTTCGCCGGGAATCGATCCACGGACCTCTGGAATACCGGCCCAGCGTGCAGAGCCACTACGCCACGAAGACACGCTAGGAAGGCTGGAGAAATACCTTATAACTGTACACGAAATTATGGAAACATTAAATACATACACATTCAAAGCAGTAGCTTGAGGTAACACTAACAGGTGCAACGATGCAGTAGTATTTTATGTGGATGTGCTAAATAAATAATACTTTAGCAAACATAATTTTTAATGTGATATAGTACGTAAATTTACTAGCTCAAGAAAAGAATAGAAGTGGGTTTACCTCTAATTTGCAGAAGTTTCGAAAACTAATTGGATTCTAATTATCATTCTTTCTAAAAAGGAATTATTTATAATGTATCTGTTCTCCTTAATGTACAATTTTCTTGTGTTAAGGATAGGCATGCATACATGGTTTCCGTTTACTGTCTTAAGATACTTGGACTACATTTGATTATTTTTAGCAATACAACTGAGTTGTAGGCTTTTATTCTTTAGTTAACTTACTTCAACTCTACTGAGACTGTCAGGCGACTTTTCGTCCTATGTATGAAAGTGATACGGGACTTCAAAGAGGATATAAACAAACCTTTTTATTTAAACATTAAATCAGCAATGGCATATCTTGTAATTTCACATCAATCTCAGCTTTTTGCGAGATTTCAAAATAACATAAAAATGTAATTTAAAGTTGAATATTAATTGACACTAGAGATTTAAAAAATACAACATAACATGCGCTAGTTCAGTTCTAACTAGTTAAGTGAGTAACTCGGTTGGTGAAAAGCTAACCTAACCTCAAAGAGTTGAGAATCCTAACTTGGATAACCTAACCTCCTAGAGTTGGGAGTCCAAGGGTTAGTCAAAAGGTCAGCGTCGCTGCCAAAGCTCTCTGCCTAACTTTAAAAAACCAGTTCTTGTATGCACGAATCTGATTTTTATCCTGATAAGAGCAAATGAAAAGTAGAAGTGGTTTGTAAAGTTTACTTATTTGTAAAATAGGTTTGTAAAATTTAGATCATAAGATAATAACAATAAAGCAATGCGACCCTGACATTTGCTCTTTCTTTAGGAGAGAGTTAATTGTGATTAATGTAGGGCTTGATGCTATCATGTCTTAGGATTGTGATTTTGGAGAACTACGGGTTTTATTGGATAGCTGAGGTGCACTACAACATCTCAGTGGTTGGTCCTCCTCAAGCAATGTAATCAACATATTTATTCTGTTCAAACTGTGGAAACTCTCTCAGACCTACGACATCCACCTCCAGTTGATCCTATTACATGTTAACATTGGTGATAAAGAGATCGCTGATAGACTGGCCAAAGAAGGTAATAAGAATGAAATGGCCACTTGCTCTTCGCTTACTTATCAAGAACAATATATTGATATCAAATGAAAGATCTAAACTCAATTTAATATGGCGTATTCCACCTAAGCATCCATAGGTACACAAAACCATCCCCTGGCTCTCTTCTGGAAATCAAACGTGATAGTGTCTTCCCTTTAATTAGTGACATAAAAAATCCACCCCCACTTGTGAAAAATGCTGTGGCCATCCAGCTTCACCGGATCACATTCTGAGCTGCATCGGACATTCTAAGAGGGACTCAACATCCAATCCTCTTATTATTAGATCTTTAGATATTTTTGGCGATCAGCAAGCATGAAATTCATACTTAACATTAATTCGAATAAGACTTTATGCTTTAATTATCAGTTGACAATAAATTTGACTGAACCCTTAAATATCGGTTTGTTTTTCAGAAGATTTTTATGCTACTAAAATATCTGTACATTTCTAGGCCTTCTAAAAACCGTAAGCAGAACTTTGTTCTAGATTTTTAAAGTTTTATTCTTGTCATTTTGCATTAATTATCAACATTTATTGACACTCACGCAAGGAAAAACTCTACAGATTTCTTAATGAGGTTTATTTAAATACTTGTTGAATAGATTTCGTTTCTTTTGATTAAGCATTTCAGTCACATTCTGGCAATCATTTTTCGAATGCATCTCAAACGTTCATTCGAAATAATATTCTAGTTATCGGTTAATTGCGCTCAACATCGCAATATACGAGATCTGACCGTGCATTATATAGCTGTAGCAATGTAGAAAGCATGCTTTGTTACTCTTCGCTAATCTTCTATAAAGTTTACATTGTATTTAAGGTCACTCACTTATTAAAATAATTTTTTACACTTGAAAAGATAAATGAATATGTAGAATCAATTGCAAAATAACTCTTCTTGCTCGAGTCTTGATTTTGTTATCGGCTTACATTTCTTTGTTATTCTGGCACAGATAATAAGATCTGGAAGAAAAAGTAAACCCTGATTGGTAGATAGCTTTGAAACGAAACATGATTCAATTTTTTTTTTTTTTTTTTTTTTAAACACTTTCTCTCTTTTTCGCCTCACTTGCTCTCTCTCTCTCTCATGGTTCATGACCTCCTATAAGAGACTTTTCTGTTAAATATGATGCATTGTACTTTCTAAAGAAGTGCAAATATTAAATATTTCGCTAACATAGTTCGGAAATTCCTTTTATTGATTTCCGCTGTTTGTTAACGGTCAAAATCAACAAAGTGAAAAGGCATTTCGTAATAATTCTTCTTATTCATTTAACAGTTTGTTTTACAACATTTGCAGGCATCTTACGTTTCGCTATAATACTAGGTTGTAATTCGTTTTTACTATTTTTTCGAAGTAAAGAAGTATTATGTAATCTTGTTGACGGATTTCTCTTCCTAAGTTCATTGTGGAGGAATACAGCGCGCAATATCTGAACACTTTTTTATGGCGGGTGCTAGCCAATTTTAGGCTTTCGGCGCTACTAAGGCTAGGAACGGTGGTCATTTGTTTATGGAGGCACCTCCTATGACAGATAATTCACATCTATGCCTTTTCTGGGATTCGAACACAGACCCTTCGGCATCGCACTCGGCTACCGTAACCACTATAACATCTGAGCGGCGCAATATTTGAATATTAAGGGCGGGAAATCTATAACTAGTTTATATGGTATTTCTCCCACCTTTCCTAGCGTGTCTTCGTGGTGTAGTGGTTCTGCATGCTGGGTCGGTATTCCAGAGGTTCGTGGTTCGATTCCCTGCGAAGGCGTTTGCTAATTTTTCATCTTATCTGCTTCCAAAAAATACCTAATATCTCTACAGTGGCGCCCGAACTAAAACGGTGTTGGATGAGATTTCTCCACATCCAGGATTTAGCGATTGAGTCTCCTGAAAACCCCAGCGCCCTTTAAAAAGGGGAGTATATAAGGTATTTCTCCCACTCTCCTAGCGTGCCTTCGGGGTGTAGTGGTTCTGCATGCTGGGCTGGTATTCCAGAGGTTCGTGGTTCGATTCTCGGCGAAGGCATTTGCTAATTTTTCATCTTGCCTGCTTCCAAAAAATACCTAATGTCTCTACAAGTTTTATATATTTGTTTCTTTGTTTGAAGTTATGGTATAAATAATTCTTCCTGTGGCTTTTCAAGAAGATCGGAAAATAAAAATTAGCTCAAAATCAATTTTACATAATTAATCACTTTAATCAAACTCAGAAGAACTTTAATCAACTTTAGTTCAAAAAATTTGAAAATGACCTGGGAAGAAAATTGAATTTTAAAAATGCACTTACGTTTATAATATTATTTCTTTTAGATTCAATATTCATTTTAGTTTACTAGCTAATTGGCTAATTATTATTCATTTCATAAGCATATTATCAAGTTCACAGAGTTTTGAATTCGATTCTGTATAAACTAATTAGAAGGGAAATTAATATACACATAAACATACAGCTTTCATGCTTTGCAAATCGCATCATCCAATTTCGTAAATTAAAATGGTCTTACCCAGAATTAAAATTTTTACTAGCCATTAGCCACAAATCTATCTCATTCTGATTCTTTTAATATTCGCGCGGACTGAGGCAATTATTGAAATCGCCAGATACATTTCATAACGAATTGCTAGTTAAACATATTTAACATGCACTGACTATGCTGACTTAAAACTTGATTGTAAACTTCAGCATTAATTTATCCAGTTTTTTTCCAGGTATGCTTTCGAGTACACTCTTTCTAGTAAGATTTCGTAGTTCTTAGCAAATTACCCATTTGGTAAAATCATGGTGCCCGGAGGTCTCATAATTTATTATTCTCTGCCAGTCATTGTGCATCTAACTTGCGTAGTGTAAAGGATATGTAGGGACGCTTATGTTCTCTCCTCCTTAATGACTGTTAGAAAGTCCTCCACGAAGGCATCCCTCAGGCAGATAGCCCTAGTGTGCTTTAAATAAACCAAAAACCTTAATGACTGGACCTTTTTTTTTTTTTTTTTTTTTGTTTTAAATTCAGGTTGTCTTGATAAACTTGAACTTCGGTATACGCAAACTTCGAAATGATTGGTCGGCATGGGGTAATTAGTAGCTAACACTTCCTAGACGAAAGGTTATTGTGAGTGAGTCGCTCTGGATAGTATAGCTTTTAGCGAGGGCTAATTTACAAGTCTCCAAACTCCGAGTTGCGAAATCGACTCCTGCGTAAGATTAGGCTGCTTATGTCTTTCCGCAA